CTTTTGCTACTATTATTGTGGGACAAATTAAATTCATTAAAATGTAAATGTGCAGTTCCATTGGATTAATTTGCACGATGTTTAAACTAATGAAAATATAATATTAGCTGTGAAGCAGTGAAAAGTCCGGAAGAGGTAACCGCAAGAATTTCTCAGCTTCCCACGAGTCCATTCAGTTCGCTCATTTACGCAAATTTCCCGTCGTCGACTTCTCCTTAAGCAATCGTCTAAGAGAAGTTATAAACAATTAAACGTGTTATTTGCCAGCCTTGAATTGAACGCGAAGGAAAACTCGAAATCCTTCGTTCGTCTCTTCTTTATTTACCAACGAGTCACCTCAGTCAGACGTAACTAAGTAAGTAATAAAAGAACATTATCTGCAGTTTAAATTCTCCATCCATTACACTTTATGAATATCCAGGAAATCTTTGCAGTTCGCAGTATAATTATAATAATTCTTGTTCGATTTTCGCCTTGGATTAAAATAGTTATTCGTTTCTAAGCATTGTTTAAATATTATTTGCAGTACGATTTTGTCTATACGTACTTTAATCTTAATGCTAACATTAAAAAGCGTGATATGTCGATAATACTAATGTCTCACGCGTAATCATTTACACGCGAAAGACAAAGATTGTGAGTCTGTTAATACATATTCAATCGAGATCCGCGGGACGCGACTGCAAACTATCAAGAGAAAAATTCACAGTAATTTTTTCACGATTCTAACATAGCTGCACAGACGGAGTCTCGATTGAGGAATATTTATGGCAGGGATTTCCTCGCGAATCAACGTCACTCTGACAATATACATGCCAGTCGGTCGTCGTCTATTTTCTCGTCGATTCATCGGCGTTCCGCGTGCGCAATTATAATTCCAGTTATGCTAAACACGAACAACTGATGTCACGATTCACAGCCAATCCAGAAAATTGATTTTCAGTTCGTCGTCTCATCGACAGATTCGTCTGTCGTCTTAATTACATTTTAAACAACGCGATATGCTAATCAACTGGATTATGTTCATATTAAAACGTAATTAAATTTGTAACATCGATGTTCGATTTAATGTTAATTTCACACCATTATTCTTGCATGAAGTGATCTTATTTGAACGGGAACCGTTTTTTACGATGATTTCGCATTCAGGAATCCAGTTCGATACGAGCAAAACAGAGCGGNGCGGCGATCCGCATACTTCTCGCCGAGACTCGTAATTACCATCTACGACGCGAACACACTGTAAAACGCGAATTAACCTTATATGTCTCTAGCTACGTACACCGTTTTCATTTTTACGTGATCTTATAAAAGGAGACAAGTCCTTTCGTCAATATAAGTAATTTCTACCATTCCAAATGTTAAATAAATAAATATAAATAAATATGACATAAATATATAGACAAAGCTGTTTGAACTTAATTAATTTAACATTTCATTTATTAAAACTCATTTTCCCCATCCATAATTTTTAATTCCCCATTCCC